CAAGGTTCCAGGACTGTTCCGGTTTTTCGGGGCGTGCATTTTCTTGTCACCACTCCCCGGCCCCAGAGATTGAAACCCAACAGATTCGCGGTTGGGAACTTCCGACAATATGAGCAGATCAGAGGTGGGAAGAATCAGAAGAGAAAGGAAGAAGAAGGAAGATCAGAGAAGACAAAGAGTCAGAAGAAAGAAGATGCAGGGGCGCGAAAGGGTAGAAAAGTCGCGAAACACTGTGTTTTCCAATGCTTTGTGGCTCCGGAGGGTCGAAAAGTAGGCTCTAGAGCAGCGGGTGCGGAGCCATCTGGGGAGATGAGAAATGAAAAATTGCACGCAACTGTTTTGCGAAGCACATTTCGTCAAAAACACCTCATGCCCGGATTATTTTTGGAAGTTAAGATGTGGAAAAGTGCACGCGGCTGCCTTCAAAGTCAAAATCTGCAAAACACACCACGTTTGGCTCACGTTTGGAGAACTTTTGGAAGTTGAGTTGCTCAAAAATTGCACGCCGTTGTGGCGCGAAGCACATTTCGAACTCAAAAGTCAAAATGTTAAAAAAAACAAAAAACTCACTGTCGGACCGCTTTTGGAAGTTGAGATGTTCAAAAAGCACACGCAGCTGTGGCGCGAAGCACATGTCGAAGTCAAAACGTTTAAAAAACCACACTCGGACGACTTTTGGACGTTCAACCGCGCCACACAACACAACACTACACTACAACGACAACCAAAACCACAACAACAACAACAACAACAACAACAACAACAACAACAACAACAACAACAACAACAACAACATACAACAACAACAACGACAACGACAACGACAACGACAACGACAACCACGACAACGACAACGACAACGACAACGACAACAACAACAACAACTACTACTACTACAACAACTACTACTACTACTACTACTACCACCACCACCACCACCACCACCACTACCACAACCACCACCACCACCACCACAACCACAACCATAACCACAACCACGACGACGACGACGACGAGGACGAGGACGAGGGCGACGACGACGACGACGACTACTACTACTACTACTGCTCCTCCTCCTGCCGCTGCTACAACTACAATTACAACTACAGCTACAACTACGACTACCACTACATTACAAAACAGCCAACAGCTACAACTACAGCTAGGGCTACAACTGCAACTACAACAACTACTACAACCACAACTAATCACAACTACACTACCATCACATTACATCACATTACACTATACTACAAGTATGCTACACGACCACTAACACTGCCACTACCACTAGTACTTCACTACCACTACCACGACCACTAGCCGCTAGCCTTACACTACACTACAAATACAGCTACAACAACAACTACTACTACTACAACAACTACTACTACTACAACTACTACAACTACTACAACTACAACTACAACTACTACTACTACTGCTACTACTACTACTACTACGACGACGACGACTACGACTACGACTACGACTACGACGACGACGACGACGACGACGACTACGACTACGACGACGACGACGACGACGACGACTACTACTACTACTACAGCAGCAGCAACAACAACTACTACTACCACAGCACTTCACGACAACTACAACGTCAACTACGACTACAACTACAACTCGACTACACTACAGCTACAACTACAACTGCAACTACAAGGTTAGCGGCTCACTGAACGCCGCCTGTTTTTCCAACCGTGGCGAGTTCATTTTGCGTTTATTTTCTCAAGGATTTGTGTCTGGGTCCTCTTTTTTGACTCTGCTAAATCCTGCGACAAACTACTTCTTTTTTAAAAACATCTTTGTGTCAGACTTCCACGTCTTTGTTTCACATGCGTTTCAGGACTTGGGTCAGATTTCGATAGACATCATTTGGGCCTGAGGATGGTGTCCACATTCTGTACTAGCATTGTTTGACCCGTGCATCGATCTCGGGGTGAAGCTTGGATCCTATATTTCCCTTCATCTTGCGAAGGACACCGGATCCAATGAATTCTTTCAAACTTCGCCACTGGCGATCAATATACATTGTGTTCCCACGACCTGGGACAAATGACGGGGAATGGTGCACAATGGAATGCACGCGAAGAAGTGAAGAGCGTAGCAGTAAGAGCATATTAGAAGCCGTGTGAACAAGACGTTATTAGCCACCCCCACCCCACCCCACCCCACCCACACAGGCACTAAAGTACATGAAAGCTGGCGGCGTTCTACAAGCCGCCAGCCAACTACAACTACACTACGCTACAACTACAACTACAACTACAGGACACTACATCCAGCAGCTGTGGGTGAGGAGACCATTGCAACCACTCCAAGAAGCACAACCCCAACAACCTTTCAGTCCATCAGTGGATTCGCTCTGCCATTTATGCATCACAACAACTCACCTCCCCTACAGGTTCCTATCTTTGAAACTTCCGCCAACGCCTTGTGCGGTACTACTGGTAACAAAGAAAGAAGCATCGGACAGGGCAAGAAATTGCAAGAATACAGAATACGCAAGAAAATGCAGGAATGTTTGCACCCACCCTTGGTATAGAATAAGACATTGCCACCGTTTTCATCTATCTGAATGATAAGACAGCACTCATTGCAAATTTCAATCCATCACGCGGAAGACAAGCCCAGAGACAAGGTGGTGTGAGCCATTAACGCCAAAGTTCGGGTGACATCACCCCTCCCTTTGATGGGAATATGATGGGAATCAAGAACCCCAAAATTGGCAGCTCAAATTTTCTTAACTTCATGTAGCCCGCCTCAATGCAATCAGGGCTGCCGAAGAAAGCGAACCCTGAGCAAAACTGCCGCTGGACTGTGGCAACGAACGTTAAATTGGACAGGGGCAGCAATTGAAGTCCAAGTAAACCTACAGGACAACTCGCATCAACTCGCCTGCGAAGAGCTTTTCAACATCTGTCGTTCAAACCTCAGACTTCTCGTCAGTTTCAGGATTCATCCGCCTAGTAGGTTCCTAATGGTTCCTAGTCATCCCAATTGTCTGGGAAAAAGCCTCATCTATGCAATTTCCTGATATCTGGGATTATCTGGTCGTAGTGTCCAGAGATGTCCAGAGTGTGAGGAACATGAAGTCTGCCACGCGGAAGCTCCTTGGCGAGACTTGTTTGATACATGTTGCATCACGTTGCTATAACAATTCTCTCATGTTCTGCGCTTCAAGGAGAAAGGTTATCGGCCATCATTGCCACCTGCACCCAGCCATGATCCCTAGGGCAACCACCCTCCTGTGGACACAGCTCTCCTGGCAGCGAAGTCCATCCCAAATCTAAACATATCGTGCTTCAGGATGCTTCAGGATGTTTCATGAGGGTCTGGGCTGTCGAAAGGACTTCTCAATAGACAAATTCGAGATCTCATCGGGATGCGAAGGGCAAAAATGCCAAATGTCTATCTTAAATCTTAAACTTTGCCAAACGTGACGTGACCGGCAAATTGTGAAGCAAGGTTCAAGATTACTTGGCTGACCTTCATTTATCTTCCACATCTCGAGCCTTATTAGGTGAATGTGTTTTCCGGCGTGGCTTCAGCGCAACTCCAAGTGTTTGACCTTGCAGCTTGTGCTGGAGAGGGTGCTCTGCCACGACTCCTGATGCATCGACTCAGCCAAAGAGATCCAAAGAGACCCAAAGAGATCCAAAGAGCACAAGAAAGACGAGGGCTGCCGAGGGCTGAGGGTCAACACAAAGCGAGAAAGGCAAGAAATATCATCAAGGAAGCATCAAGAAGGGCATGAAAACGGAAGGGAAAACAGCAGCACTTCCTGCTCTACTGCTGTGTGCTTTTAAAGCTTGATTTCATCTTAGTGCGTGCCTTTCTTGTGGGCGCAGATCTGACCTTGATGATGCCAGTTTTTTAGAGCACAGACTGGTACACCCTTTCGGGGGCAATCTTGAAGTTACCGGTACCGATGAAAAAGGAATATCATACTATATTAGATTATATTAGTACGTTGGTGACGTGACTATATGTCACATCATTGGTGGAATTTATCGGGACCCTCAATGATGGGACCCCCTTCCCATTAGCATCCCATATTACTCCCATAAGAAACCCTGGAATGGGATGGAATGGGTGTCCATCATTCAGGGTCCTTAAAAAATCATATCGATTCTGAGCCGCAAACTCAAAATGAAGTCCCATGCGCTCCTGCAATGGCGATACACTGGCCAATTGCTGCCATTTTTCTCTTCCAACAACTCAAGTTGCTCCCAACTGAGCTGTGGCCATGTTTTGAGATAACTTGAGGTATTCCCACCTCCCTTGCCTTTGATGATGACCTCCAGTTCACGCCCTCGGTGGCAAAATGATCACAAAGTTTCAAAAAAATCATCTGCAACAAGACTCCCTGTCCGATCTGCTGCTAAAACTGCTAACCTGCCAGTGACTGGTCGCTCTGACTTGCTCACAGCATTCTGCAATATTCTGCAAGCCATGGCCCATTGTTTTTTCATTGTGAGATGACAGAGCTGGAGAGAGCTGGAGATTCAAGTTGCATTTTCGTATTTTTCATCGTCTGTATCTCTATCTCCAAGCCACCGTGGCAGCTCGAGACTCCCCCTTGGAGGGTGACCTGCCATGCGAAAACCTGATGTCCAAACGATGCCGAACCGTATCAAACCACCAAGTCAAAGACATCAGTTTAAAAAAAATCTTAACATCTGTTAAACAGCTGTTGGAATCTGTAGGATCAAAGAATCTACGTTTGACTTGTTCAAGAAAAGGCAGAGAAGGTGTGCCCCCCCTGTGAGCCATCTCCCCTTCCGTGATGATAATCATGGATTTTGGCCAATGTCCAAATTTTTACCGGCGAATAACTGAAAAATGACTGACGCCTGACGCTACGATACGCTACGTATTTCTCCAGTTCCAGGAGTTTTCAGATCTATTGGTGGGTTGTGGCATAGGGCACCTCTATCTTATTGTTCTTATTCAGATACAGCTGACCAAGTCCGCCATTTTGCTGTGAGATCACAAGAGCTTCCGCTTGTTCCGTCTCCCTCGACGCTTTGGTCTGGGGTCTGGGATGGTGGGCAACACGCTAGACTGTGCTTGCAAGCTGCGGAGCACTGCGCGGCAGGAATTGATGGCACTGTCATAGCTGGCGGCATCAGGTTCAATGTCCTTTGCTTTCATCTCATCCTTAGAGAATGGCACCACATGCACCCAGGAATTCTGGCCAAATCTTGATTCTCAATCCATCTACATCTTGGCTTGGAACAGCCCCCCTATTGTTTTACACTTCTGGGATCCCCGTCTGTACTCCAACGTGGGGTACAGTCCTAGAAAAAAATCGGTCTAAAATTATGACCCCTAACCTTTGAGAGAGGCTTTAGATTTTAGAGCTTTAAATTCCTGGCTCCTAACCTCTGAAGCCGAAATCTCACTTCCAACGACCTTTTTGATTTTTTTTTGCTAATTTCCTTGTGCCCAACGTCCAACATCCAATAAATTTACCCCTCTGGTATCCAAGTAAAAACATTATTTCCTGGATGTTTGCGTTGGTAACATGCCATATCTTCCCCCCCCTCAATCTGATACGGAAAAAAATGAATTCCTGGCACCTGACTTCCCGGCTGACAGCTCGCAGTTTTTCAGAGTCCACGGCTTCACGAGTGCGGTCCGGCAGATGCCCACGGCAATGCGCAACCCTTTTGCATGGACAAATGCATCTTCAGGAAAAAACGCCTGTTTTGCAATTTGGCCACACGTTGGAACAAAATTCTTCAATTTGTCCCATCGTTTCCTATCTATGGATGGTTGACCTGGTGATGCGATTTTTTTCCTGTGGGGCCAGCCTTTGAAGATCATCCACAAGAATTCGGCCAAAAAAAGGTCCAGCCCCTTGGATTTTATTTTTGACACCTGCGCCTCGGCTCTTCAAGTCACCTTTTTTTGGTTGGTGAAGCTGAACATATGTGGTTGTACCAAGGACAACTGTATTTTCAGCAAAAAAACATGTGTTTTGCGCGTTGACACAAAATTCTTGAATTCGTCCCATCATGTCCTATCAGTGGATGATTGGCCTGGTGATGCGACTTTTTTCCTGTGGGCCAACCTTTGAAGATCATCCGCAAGTATTCAGTCAAAAAAGGTCCAGCCCCTTGGATTTTATTTTTGACCCCTGCGCCTTGGCCTCTTGAAGTCACTTTTTTGGTTGGTGAAGCTGAACATATGTCTTTGATACCCCTTACTTGTTCCCTAGGATGCTTTACGAAGCATTTTATAGAGAAAATTGGTTATAAAATAGTCCTCCGTCAGCCAACATCCAGACAGCAAGTGGGAACCCTCTATGAAATGACCTCTCCGTCATCTCTATGAAATGCTTCTCCGCAGACGACGCGTGTGCAAAAACACGCAGCGCGACATCGGGCAACAACCCAGTCTTTCCGCCTTTCCACCAACGCACGCGCGCGCGTTAAACACGCGCGCGCGTTGGCGGAACCCCGACTCGACAAACGCCAGCGAGCCGAGGTTTCAGCCGGAAGTGTGGAGACACAACGAGGAGCAGGAAAGGGGAGACACAACGTGAAAAATGTCACTTTTATGGTTTGTAAACAAGAAAAAGTTGCTTTTGTACCATAGTGAAATGTTAAAATTTGTGCAGATCTATCTATCTATTAAGTATGCATTTATATGAATGTTTTCCCAAAAAAAACCACTAACAAAGCCATTTGTGGCACTTATTTTTTGACGGTAACATTTTGCAAAGAATCCCTCCTATAAAATGCATCATCCATCTGCAACATCTTGCACCTCTCTATCATCTTTGATGCTGGGAGGGAAGCTCTCTATAAAATGATAAAATAGGGAGCTCTGGAGGGGCATTTTATAGAGTCAAAGCATCGGCATTTTATAGAGGATCAACTTAGGGGTATTGTCTTTGTACCCTTTTGCAAAGTCATGTAAAGAATCATACCCACTCAATTAATCATGGTACATTTTTTCCTGGGCTGTTCCTGGGGTTTGACATTTAGATATGTTCTAGTAAACTCCCATTTGATCCATCCACCTTCAAATTTCTGGCTAATAACCTTGGGAATTCTACAAACTTACCCGTTATCAGAGTCATTCATGATTGATTTCCTGATGCCTTACATACACAGACTGATAGATCAACCCCCCCTCAATCACAACAGGCAGAAATTGATTTCCTGTCACTGTACGTCAGGAAGCTTTCAGGAAAAAAAATCTGGGCCTTTTTTGGTATGATATTTTATTCCTGGCCCCATATCATGCCCCGGGACCCTCACCCACTGTCTGCTAGATTTTTGGAAAATAGTGTTTTTTAAAAAGCGTACTGAACCCCCAGGAAAAAAAACTGGTAGTACAGAGGAGGGTACTTCTGGGCTCATTATCATGGTTTAATAAGGGGTACACATCTAGCTGCGTTAGCAGGCCATCACAGAATCACAGTTGTTCCTGGTTATGATTGTGATGGTGATTCCAAGAAAATGTTAATTTCGAAACAACTTGTGGATAGTTTCGAATCGCACATTGTTGAAACAAAATGCCCAGACATATGTTTGGATGTTTTTTGTGTAATTGCCAGCCGATCCACCAATTTTGCGCATTTCCATTTTCACCCTTCAGATGATGTTGCACAGGGTTGCATGCAATTACTGCTGACTTAAAAATATCTACAGCCAAATTCCTCCCAAGTCAAAGACCCATAACTCATGGACTGACAAAATAAATATATGGTTCCTTATTTATCCGTGTCCATCCGTATCCTTCTTATTAATTATTCCTGGTTCGGCTTGCAACATAAACCTCAAAAGGGGTTGTCTTATGTGTGCCCTATTGGTGTCTTATGAGTGACCATTATCCTGCTTTATATGCTCTCCAGTGTAGATTGATGTACTACAAGCGAGAGTTCGTTTGAAATCAAAATGCGATCGCTTCCAGCAAGCATCCAACAGCCACATGGCTTGCAGCGGCTCCCCACCTCTATCACATGCTACCAGTGCAGCACGGTAAGGGCCCAAATCTGGTGTTTTTGGCATCTGCCGTAGATCATTCAGCAGGGACAGCGCTGGCTGCCAACGTGAAGCTTTCTGACACGCCTCACACATGGCAGGACATGCAAACAGGAAACCATGCAGAGTCCGGACCCATGCGGTATCCCAGATAAAATGAATGAGTGAAGTACAGTGAAGTGTCTAGCAACTGGCTCACCTAGAGCACGCAAGTGTGAGATTGCTCCACCAATGCGCCTATACACACGGAGAAATGCATGTGGATAATTGTGGATATCATCTTTGCACACACACACACCCCTTATATGTAATATTGTGCCATACCAATACATACACATATGTATGTACACATATGTACGCACATGTATGCACATGTGCACATGCAAATCTAAGTCGAATCAAATTTCACATATAGCTATATTATGTATGTATATATATATATATACGTATATTAATCTATCCCCCTGGACCTAAGGGGGGGTGGCGGGGTAGGATTTCTTTTAGTTCTCCCCACCATGCATTTCGGCCACTGCGGTCATCTGAAACCTTAATCCAAAGCCACGCCAAACCTGTGCCTGCAGAAGCCTATCACTTCTAGAGTGCGGTGAGTCCCGCTAATTTGCAATAATGTCCTCTCTTCTCCCCTCCAAACCTGCAGAACTGTCACAACTGACTGCCTTGCTTAAAACCTGTGGTTTTAAGCGAGGCGATGCACAATTCAGCAAGGCGCAAAGCTTTGCCTTGCCCAAAATGCGATTGCCTTGCTTTAAACCACCGGTTTTAAGCAAGGCGCTACCTGTCAATTCTTTATATTTTTGCAGGTTTGGGGAGGACGAAAGGAAAAGGAGAGGTAGTTGAAAATCAGTGAAAATCAACAGGTTGGACCAACCTACCCTTAAAAAAAAAAAACACACAATTGCAAAATGAGCCCCCCTTCCGACTTCGAAATCAGGGCTGAGGGGATACATATGTAATAATATATATATATTTATATTTATTTATTATGTTACGTTATGTCAAATTATGTCATATTATATTATACTATGTTAAATGGTGTTATCTTATGGTTTGTTATACTATAGTATATGTCAGTTTGCTTTATTATGCGTTATATTTAAAACATGATAATTAAATAATAAACACATAAACAAATAAATAAATAAATAAATAAATAGTAGAAAAATATATATATTATAATATATTATAATTAGACATATATTACATTATATCACATCAAACTGACCTGTTGCTTTCTGCCTCCATGGCGGCGCAAATGGCGGAAGAGTAGGTCTCTTCGTCGGCGCCGCTGTCGCGAAGCTCGTCCAGGAGTTCTAAGGCCCAGCTCCAGGTGCGACCCTTCGGCGTCTGCCCCTCCTACAACATGTGACATGTGTTGCAAAACGTGTTGCAAAACGTGTAAACGTGGAGAACTGAAGAAATTAAAGCACATTAAAGCACTATTTGACTATTTGGGCAAATGATGGCAAATAACAAATAGTCACAGAATGTCACAAGGTGGGGAGATATGTTTTTTCGATGGAGTCTGGGCTTTCTCGAGCGTTCCTGCCATTGCCAGGCCAAATGCTTGATGTGCAACTTGTGCAGGAAAGCAGACAGCCAACTGGGCTTTGGGCCGAGCAGGCCATAAAACGCTTCCTCGAGAGCAGAAACGGAGCTGCAGGCTGATGTTCCGGATGGTAGTGTCACGATGTCTCACAGTCTCACATTCCATTTGCTCAATTTTTGCATATGTTTGCACTCCTTCATCCTACAGTATCTGAGGCCAGTCCAGAATAACACTCTACTGCCACACAGTACCACCCCCATTGCGCGCTAGCAGATCAACATCATCTCACAACTTTTCATTTGGTTTTGGGCAGCTGATCCCGGATATTCCCATCATCCATTCCCAATTGTCCCTGATATTGCCAGTAATCTGATACTTCAGATAATCTCTGATCTATTCTGATCCCTTTGTCGCCATTTGATGCCAGGATGTGCCAAGCATCAGCGCTTCCATTGAAGAAGGTGAGTTGCACCTTGTCTTCTGCAACTTCGATTGGCCGAATGGCCTCTGCCAACGACATACCGTGGACCTCGAGACACAAAACAAGCCAAAAAGACAAGGCATGACAGGACTAGAAGCCTAAGCTCTGATATGCCCTGATTATCCCTGATTCCTCTGCGTGTAACCATCTTGCGAGACAAAGTGTCAATGTTGAAATGTGGAAATATGATGAATTGTCGCATCCTGGAAGACAAAAGAACCCTTAAGATACTTCCCATCGCACTTCCATATCTTTCCACATCTTCCACAAATCTGCTGCCAAAATTCATCCTTTCAGTGGCTTCTGCCGAGGCACTGCAACACCGCCAGCTGCAAGAAGCTGAAACCCAGGCTGAAGGCCCAGTTCTCAGTTCACTGCTACGCTACGCACCCATGAAGTTGACAGGTCTCCAGGATGCCTGGATAAAACCTACAGACCTGTCCTGCCGATTTCTTATGATTGTAATTGTAATGATTTGATCAGATTCCAACTGAAAGTATGAACAAATATAAACAAGTGTTGGATCAGGTTGACCAAGCCCTTCAGGAACTTTCAGAAACCTCAAGTAAGAAACGACTTCAAATACCGCACCGTACGAGTACCGCACCAAGTCATCTCCGAGGATCTTTCTGCCCTGGAGCCCCCCTCAAGTGCCACAATCGACACTCCGCCGCCAAGCTCTCGTGGGTTCTCCTCCACTGTCACCCCCAACCTGAAACTGCACTCGCATTGCACTCGTATGCACTCGCGTCATCGAGGCTTCGTTAACCAGAACTCATCAGAACTAATCAGAACTAGTCACAAATCTATTCAAGTCTTAATGTACCAATATTTATCACTTGCGGCCTAGTTGCGGCTTTTGCAGTGTGACGGTGAGGTAGTTGCTCTCATTCATTGTGTCTACCTGTACTGCCGGTGTCAAAGGCCAAATGACTGCTTTTGCAGCTACTTCCTTTGGAACTTCCTTTAGAGCACACAACAAATACAACAGCAGCAAATGTCACAGTCAACGTTCAGCTGAGGCACGGAATCTATTTTCACCAGTGGAGCAATGAGATCCGACCACATTTCTTCAGACTCCACTTCTTCGTCTTCCTTGGAACTCGACGAATGGCGATGTGAAGCGATAAAGAAAAGGTGAACGAGTGGCCATGGCATGCCAAATTTAAATGAATCCTGGTCTCACATCCCAAATTCCAAGAGGATGCTCTACCCATCTCAAATACCGCATCGCCATACCCATGCCAAATGTGCCAGGGAAGCGACTCTGAAAAGGAAGGACAACGGGGCCTGAAATCGAAGCTCCTCTCCTTCAGGTACCAGTTGCTCCTGCGGTAAGGACTGCCTTAGTGACGGCCCCATGGGAATCACATTTTGCAGAGGTTCAAAAGGTTCAAATGGGTTTCCCTGAATAGCGTTTACCATTCGCGTACATATGGGCGTAAGTCAAAAATTGGATGTGGATCGTGCCGCGCCGGTCCATACTGTCCATACGTATGGGATGGTGTGGACAAATTCTGATCCATACCTTACATTTTGATTCGCACCTGTATGTTTTGGACTTTTCATATTCATGTTTGTTTTGTTTATCTATATTTATATATGTATACAGTATATACCTATAATACCTATATGTGTGCAGTATATACAAAATTATACATAGCCTCCGGTAAACTAACATAACATAACTATGGAACATACCACTTTTAATAGGCAAATAATCATCCATAAATGGGGATTTTCAATAGATTATGTTAGTTTACCGAAGGTTTACTTGCATATCATTGTACTATTTGTCTGTTTGCATGCCAAGTGTGCATACAAAGATATTATGTACAGTATATATTATAGATGTGTATATATATATAGTTCAAAAATGTAAAAAATATCATAAAATAATCATATATTATCTAATTCATTCAAAAAATACTACTGCTTATTCTTGTTTTGCACATATCCACGGTGCACTTGGTGCTTTTTCGTATTTCAATTCTTGCTGAGCAGCTTGATCCAATCCAATGGAGTTCCGATGTCCTCCTCTAGCTGCCAGACCTGGGAGTGCAGGCAGATGGAAGATGTTGGAATAGTTAGGTCCTTGAATGTTGTTGAGAAATGTTCATAAAAGAATGATAAAGTGTTGATAGTGTTACTGAAAATTGATGAAAATTGGATATTGCCTGTCGCTCGATAGTCTGTCGATAGTGTCGGCTTGGGGTGGTTCTTCAATGTTCTTCAGCCCAATGGCCAACGGGGCAATACTTTGCACAGTCTTGTTACATCTTGTTACAAAGTCGCATGGTTTCGCCTTGCCCCCAGGTGCTTTCAGAAAAGCTGGGAGCCTCTCAGGCCTTCAGCCGCAAGCTGACCAGGACAGCGATTTTAAATGTTACCCTTCCTTGCGTAAAGTTTACCAAACAAAAACTGAATTTTAACGGTTCTTTCTCAAGACTCTGCCAATGGCCAAGTTTTCACAACTCAGATATAGTATGATATAGTTGAATTATGTTGAATTTGTATGGATTTGCTAATGCCAGCCCTCCAGCCTTCTTTTGGCACATCTGCCAAGAAGCTCCTTTGTTCAGGCTTGACAGAGGCGTTTCGAACTCCACTTCTTCACCTTCAGGAACCTGCAGGGGGGAATGGGTCAAATGGAAAAGGAGTGTGGATTGGTGCGGTGTGGCGTGTGCCATCTATGGCAAATCTGAGTCGGCATCAAGTGCTTCGTCGGGCCGCTCTTCAAAATCAAAAAGGAAAATCAAACAAAAAAAACTCAAAATGTAAGAAACATAGACCAATTACCAACACGAAAACGAAAGAACAACACGAATCCAAACAGCTTCGGATCAAGAGCAGCTGAGGAACCAAGGCTTCCTGATTGGGTGTGATGAGTGTGTCTTGGATATTTTGCTTCAGTTGATCCAGAGGTGTCTCAAACTGTATGGCCTCATCCTCTGGAACCCACCTGCGGCATGAATTTCAATCAGAACTGCAACGAGGCTTGCTCATTTAACAAATCAGACGTGATATGATCCGATATGGTGTGATCCACACTTCAAGACCTTGTACAAAGGTAACACAATGTTGATGCCCAACTGCCCAACTGCGCTGACCAAGGCACTTTTCTGTGGGCTTGGGCGGTAGAAGGCCAGCCCTCTCGAGCAGGGCTCGCACATCTGGCCCTTTCCCTGGACCTTTGGCGTGTAAGCACACTCGCGACAGTCGGGACGGTGCCACACGTGTCCGGCATTGCCAGGTCCTAAGTGGAGCCCCATGTTCAGAACAAATGTGTTCTGCGTCTGCCTGTCTGTGCTTGAGTTTTGGCTGCAGAATATACCGCTAAAATCTAGTAAAGTGGTACTGTAAATCCAAGCTAAGCATGCTAATCATTGGAAAAGAACACAACTCCCACAACTCCCAAGCCTGTAGAAGCCGAGCAAATCACCAAAATCACCAAACAAAGATAAGCAGAGCGCACCGAGCATCGAAAAAGCCAGAAGATGACCTGCCGTGATAATGCAAGCACAAGCAGCGCAAGCAGCGCAAGCCAGGAGTGCAGTGAACACCGTGGTCTGCCGGCGCGGAATATGCCGCATGGCGGCAGAGAAGCATGGCTACCGCATGGCTCCCTCTGCTTGTGAGAGGTAGGCCTTACCAAGTTGCCTCGTCAAGTTTGATCCAAAATGCAGTTGGGTAGTAAACATGCGACAGGACTCACAGGACCAGACTAAGCCGGATTAGCAGCCCAAATCTAGTACTCATAAATCAACCAACCCAAAGACAAGAAATGCTGATTATGGACGATTAATTTTTCTTGCACCATCACCAGCTATTATGTTTGAAAGTGAGGAAAAGACTGTTTGGAAGCTTGCCCTGGGTCCATGTGAGAGAAAAAACAAGTCTGTGGTCTTCCGCATCTCACCTTCATCCTCCCTCATCTCATCATCATGCAACCCCGTTTTCGGACAACAACTTTCAAAATATACCAAGAGTTGCATGAGAATCGATTGAAATTGACATGTCTAAACACTCAAAGTATCGTCCTATATTTTTTGATATTTTTTGAATATCTTATGTGTGATTTTTGCAAATCCTAGAAATGTCCCGTGCTTTCGGCATCGGCATCGGCTTTGGAATTCCCAGACGACTGGACCTCGGCGGCCGCGGGGGTCGTCCATACATGGTCGCCCGTTCCGACGGCATCTCTCGAATGGCCGGAACACCTCAGGTAGGCCATGGCACCGTCTAACTTGCAGAATTCTTACAGAATCCTTACAGAAACCTATCAAGATACAGCAAATCTTATCAAATCTGAAGTTGCACTGGAAGAAAGTGATGGATGGTGATGGGGCAAATCAATGCAAATTACTGCGCCTAGATGTGTTCAATATTGTTCAATGACAAGGTCACAGGTCTCCGATATGAGTTTGGCTCAAGGCGACATCATGCGACATCTCCTTGTCTGCACAGCTGCGCTCTCCTGAGCAGGGCACTGCAACCACGACTCGGAGGCTTCTTAGGCGATGATGGCGACAGAACGTTGGAGATGTCCCGCGACACCTGCAAAACTCATCAGGGTGGGATGCTGGAAACCTCTTGCTGCGCGGCAACCCGAAGCCTGTTTAGTTTAAACTCTGAAGCAACAACATGTGATAAACTTATGTAGGTGCATCTTTAGTAATCTTTACTAATCATTACTATGTCTACGTATAGTTATTACATGTGATTCCTATCATCATTAAATTATATAAATTTATATAATGTTAATGTCATTAATCAAGCTGTCGTATCACGGGGCTTGAGCCTCCAGGCTCGCCTTCTTGGGCTCTTCGGGCTTTGCAGCCTCCTGAGATTCGGTCCCAAAATGCCCCAACCCAGGTGGCCCATGCTGACACACCGACATCTTAATCACTGAAGGAGGCAGCATGTGTGGAGATCTGTGGACATAAGCAAGTGAGTTTCAGTCGAATGTGCGGTGACCACTGATTCACGATGTTTCACCTGTCACCTAAGGAGGAACGTCAGGGTCTTAAAAAGTGAATCACCCCTCCTGAAGCTCACTGAGCATCAGCGTGGCAGAATTCAAATCGTTCACTGCCTGCGGTCATTCGAGGCTGAGTATGGGAGAGCATTTTGTGAGGGCAAAACAGGACCTGAGCTGCAAATGTTGCAAAGCTGTGAGGCACTGGTTGAATCTTTTCATGATAAGACCTCTTGAGAACAGCCGGTCAAGCAGCGTCAAGCACCCAATTTTTCAGTTTGCGCTTCCGGTGTTTCTTTTTTCTCCCGCTCTTTGGTCACTTCGAGCTCAGCCAGGATTTACATCGTCTCATTGAGGTCACGACCTGTTGACTCAAGCCCAGGAGGCCATAGGTCAATGATACATACATTACATCTACAAATGAAAACTAAAAACGTGCCAACGTGCTGTAAACTGTCATTGAATATACTGTATACAGTTGCATGATATCGTGAAGCAAGGCGCCTTTGATGCACTCCTGATAGCCCTTCCTCGGCCTCCTTAGCATTTCAGTATGGCATCCAAACCAAAAACGAGTCGCGCCAGCCGGAAATGCGAGAAGTGCTGAGCGCGGAAAAAAAAACATAAAAGGAAGAAACTGCACGTATTTGGGGGCTGCAAGGGTGAGTTTGTCAAGGTTCGCAGGTGTAGCGACAATGAGCAGTTGCTCGAAATAATGGAGTTTATGGATTTATGGATGGCATTAAATTTACTAAATTCAAGGATTGATTGGAATCTGTCTCAAAGCAATGCCAGGCGTCATGTATTCAATTTTGAATTTTCTAACGCCCCCTTCTAGTTGATGGCTCGGCGGCCGCAATGCTGGAGGCAAACTTTCAGCTCCAGCTAGGGGCAAAATGCACTTGGCATCCTTGGTGATCTGCAGACATGGTGTTTCCACCTTGGATAATACGCACGGATGAGAAATGCTGTTTTGTTCTCCAAAAAAATGACGAAAAACAAACATATTAATAACATGATATATAAATATAATGTATGATGATAGCATGTAGTGGGTTGCACGCTACCGGTACTTGTGGAGTAAATTCTGCCTAGCGACTCCTACCTCTTCATCGTTCTGATTTATGAAAGGTGGCCATCAACATAATCCACAATCACAAATCCCAAAAACATGGTAACAACGTCTGTAAGAGGCCGTGTCGGCGATGACATCACATAGTCCCAGGACGATGATGGAAACTGTAGCAATTTGCACATTTTTATTTTTCTGGGCTGAATTTTTGGTGCAAATCCTTTGGAAGGGCAACCTCAAAAGTGGAAAATTTAGCGTTTTACAAACACAAAAGTGCAGCTTTGTTCGCCGAGGGTTTCGCCGAAAAAAACCCTTTCTTGGAAGTGTAGGAGAACATCCAGCAGCATAGCATGACGTATGTGTGGAAGTGCCAGAGAACATCCAGCAGCGTAGCATGACGTATGTGTGGAAGTGCTAGAGAACATCCAGCAGCGTAGCATGACGTATGTGTGGAAGTGCTAAAGAACATCCAGCAGCATAGCATGACGTACGTGTGGAAGTGCTAGGGAACATCCAGCAGCGTAACATAACGTATGTGTTGGAGTTCGAGAGAACATGCAGCAGCGTAGCATGACGTATGTGTGGAAGTGCTAAAGAACATCCAGCAGCGTAACATAACGTATGTGTTGAAGTTCTAGAGAACATCCAGCAGTGTAGCATGAGGTATGTGTGGAAGTGCTAGAGAACATCCAGCAGCGTAGCATGACGTATGTGCGGAAGTGCTAAAGAACATCCAGCAACGTAGCATGAGGTATGTGTGGAAGTGCTAAAGAACATCCAGCAGCGTGGCATGACGTATGTGTGGAAGTGCTAGAGAACACCCAGCAGCGTAGCATGACGTATGTGTGGAAGTGCAAGAACATTTACGGAGTAGAAGTCAAACAGAACGTTAGTACCCCACCCCACACCACACCACACCGCCCCCACCGCCGAAATATCAAGACGCCAAAATATCAACACGCGCCTGGCCTCTTACTGGCGTTGACACCAAAAACATGCATATAAAAAGTCGAAAATCGAGACATAAAGGAACAAATTACTAAGGCAACTGGGGTGTGCCGGGAGGTCTGGCGGTTTTTTGTCAATACAGAAGGATCTTGAAGCATCCTTGTTCAAGCGACAAAGGCAATGCTGCTGCCAACTGATGAAAATAGGAGGCCTACCTTGGTTTGCAAGTCATGCCTGGACCCCTTGTCTTGATCATAGATTTGTTTTAAAAAAGCTGCTGAAGAAACTTTGGTGTCGTTCCATTTCAGACAAGGAGGCCCCTGATCTTTTCACTGAAGCTTGCAACTGCACATCCAAAAAAGAATCAAAAGAACCACAAGGAGTCGCTAGTTCAAGTGAAGAAAAAAAAACACAAGCCACGGTGCATGGAGGAATGTTACCATTCACGCGGCAGTACGGAATCTCTCCCATACCTCGACTGGACTCAAAGATTCCAAGAATGTTTGATAATGCAGCCATATCTCAGTATCTCTCATGGCTCAACGACTAATCTTCCTCTGTTGTTTCGTGTTGTTTCCGCACATGACATCATATGACCCGATATGCTGAGATTTGCTGAGTCGCATTCCCTCGGATAAACGAGGCCATGGCAATACTCATGTGAACTCCAGCTGCTGCTCAGTGCCGCCATGTAAAACATGGGATCCGTGGCGTTGCTTCGTATGAAACCGGCTGCAATGATGCCGCTGTAGGTCGCCCAGTTGGTTGTGAGGCCGTTGTCCCCGGAGATAGTTTGCCCCAGAATTAAATAGCCTGGACGCGTTGTAGCCAAACGTGTCTCCAGTGCTTGATGCTATAAGAATGGAATGCCGGTCTTAATGGAATTGACAAAAAAATCAGATGCGACGAAAGTATGCATTCAGAATTGCCCGAGTGTACTGTACACATCACATTGCAATGCGTGTATCCATATGCATGTATATTATATATATATATATATGTGTGTGTGTGCGCCCCTCTATATGCATTGTGTGTAATAAATGCAGTACACACACAGCACGCATGATATATATATATATATAATATATATATATATATATTATTATTATTGTTGTTATTATTATTATTACTGTTATTATTATTGCCATTATTATTATTGTATATTATTGTCATTTTATTGTTACAAGTATCATTATTTTATCATATATGAATGATTAATGTATGCGTGTATGCAGTATACGTTCTATGCACAGTACAAATATGCGTGTATATATAATTACAATAATTATATATATATACGTATAATTACGTATATATACTGTACATCGTCTCTGTACTGTTATGTGTTTGCTTCTTGTCCACTTCTAGGATTCACTGAGCATTTTAAGGAGCTCCAAGCGCAACCTGGTCGCGCCACTTAGCGAACACCTCTCCTGCAGCATCGGCATCGAAACAGCGGCGAAAGCACTCGTCCGGTCGGTGTCTAAGCACCACCTCATGTGGCATGTCTGGCTGTAGCAGTTGCAAGGGTCACTGCAAAAATATGCGAAGATGGAACTTGAACACACGGAATGCGCAACTGCATCAGGCTAATACCACCGGTTTTTATTTCACGCCAAAAAAAAACACCATTCAGAGATAAACTGATATTCTTAGTTCAAATTTCAGAAAACGGTGCAGCTGTCTTGTGCAAATGGAGTAGACGGTGCTTCCAGGATCACCAACCACGGCAGGCAGCGACTCTCGAATCACATGAGCGATCAGCCAGCAACCATACCAATGCACGGGGTACATGTAGGCCTTGCCGCTTATGCCTTTGCTCTCACCTCTGCTGATGAAGCTCTGCTATGTTGCTTCGGAAAGGATGCTCTGACTCTATGATGCTGAATTTAAAGGAATTCATATGTTTGATTATGTTTGTATTTATCCGTGTGCCCCCTTTGGCAGGACATGCTTGTCAATGATAGCGGGATCATAGCGGAAAACCTGCAAACACCGTGAAGATCCTTGAAGTCTATCCAGAGACTGGTCACCATGGCGCGTCACAGATAGGAAGCCAAGCCGTCTCTCGAAAAACTGGAAGTCGTCTTCCAAAATCTCACGCTGGGTTCCCTTTTCACTAGAAACCAGCAGCGTCACAAACCAACAATCCCCGGCCGATCGCCGAAGCATGTCCAGCATGGTTGGACGGACAAACTTCAGGGAACGGTAAAGGCTGGAAAGAAGAAGCCAAACTTTGGGCTTGCAGGTGATGTTGTAATGAACCTCAGCTGATGCGTCTTCTTCCAGGAGATTCGACACATGCATTCACATGTCATTATCCACACTGCATTCGCTACATCGTAGCTCAGCATTCATCAATGCCAAGATCTGCGAATGATCTGCAAAGGTACCATATCGGATGGTTTCAGGTTGTGGTGCTCCAAGCGCACAGCCGGCCAGCGCTGCAGAAACTGTGCAACTCCATCTTCCAAGACTGTGCTCCTTGGCTTGGACACACAAAAACGAAGAAACAAAGACACAGCGTTCTGAGGGGTTCTGATCAGACAAAAAAAAACACATTTCGAATGTTTCGGGTCATGGGCATTCTTCAGCTTGCAAGGCTCTTCTGCGCAACGGGCTAGCGTCAACCTATTTCCGTGCTGGATTCTCTCCGAACTATAAGGACAAAACATAACAAAACGAGCGAATCGATATCAAATTCGGGCAGTTGTCGCTTTGATGCTATGTTGTGCTGCTTCTTTGGCAGCTTGCCCTGAAGTTGTGGTCTGACCTGCGGTCACATCTGGTGAAGTGGTCGGAGTCGGTACATCTAGGCCTCCAAGGCCGCCAAGGCCTCACAGACAACTGCTTCGCGGGCCATTGTGTATCGCCCATGTACAAAAGTGGGTTCATTATGGTTCATTTCTACGTATCCTTTACCTTGCAATATGTTCCAATCAGATCCAACATGATCCAACAAGGATAACAAGGGACAAGTAACATACAAGAATGAAACACAGAAGCGCGGCTGGCACAGCCGCTGATTGTAGGCAAACACAAAGCCAACGCAGCGTCATCACATTGAAGACAGCCAGCCGGGGTGATGAAAGATTCAGATGCATGGCACGACATGGCCACCGCAAGGAGCCATGGGGCTAAGTAGCCAGTGAAAGCATGTGAAAGCGGCAATTTGCGGTGGATTGTCCAAATGGCAAGGCTTACCTCAACACAGTCAGCATTCTATTTCAAAGGGTCTTGACACTTAAAGCGTGAGCTGGTGCTAATTTTGAAATTGGTCTTGGCAGCAAGAGAAGGCAAGCGTCATGGCGACATCGAATTTGTGCATTGTTCGATGCTGTGGTGGTTCGTCTAGGTGGGAAAGGGGCTGCAGATTGAGTTAAAACTTTGGAGCTGGCAGCCAAGCCAGAACCCGGCCAACCGCCTCAACAGATACAAGCCTTTAAAATGACTGAAGGACGCAAAAATAAGAATTACAACAGTCACAATGGAGCTTGACAATTATATATATATATTCATTCAATTATGTGTTTATTTATTTACTATTAATTTATTGATTTATTTATTCCTTCATATGTACAGTATATTGTTATATTCAATGGTACATTGAAAAATATTGAAAATATACTGATTTTATATTGCGAATTATTGCGAATTATTGCGACATGCAAATCATGCAACGACCAATATATAGTGGACCACGACCAAAGCGGCCTTGATGCGATCGCCTGGCTTCACAGCAAGGCTGCAGTGCTTCTCCTCAGCACCTCGATCTGCCTCACTCGGAGCCGCAAAGAAAGTCACTTCAGTAACACTGGAGTCCCATGAATCAATGAAAATGAATGAAAATGAATGAACAATTCCCATGAGTTCATATGAAGTATGCATGAAGTATGCAATATGAATTGATATCACTTATATATATATATACATACGTGACATAATTCATGAGTGTCGTAAGTTTGCACAATTATATGTAATTATGCGATATTATTTATGTTTACATTGTGTACATCTCAGATTGTGATGGCCATGAGCCACGCCTGGCGCTCCTCAGCAGTGTTCCACTGGGCCACTGGCGTCCTGCGAGAGCGCTGCAGGCAGACTTAGCACAACCCGACAAACAGATACGAAAAACATGTAGATGACATATGAATCAATATGATGCAATGCAGATTCAATGTAGGAGTGGGCGGAGAACTCAATGAGTAGATCATGTCCATCATATCATCATACAACATCATCATTTACATACTCAATCGCATTGGAAAAAATGATCTGTCTCTTTGGCTCGTCAAAGTAGTTTCGAGGCCTCTGTCTGGGATGCATGTCGATGTCTTCGATCACTAACCTCAGCCGGAACAACTCAATCCCAGTCCCAGACTTATCCATTGGGGGGCAAGCTATGAGCTGAGGCAAGTTGCATTTCTAAAAGCTCAATTTCACTACATTCATTATATTCCAATATATTCCACGTCATTGCTTAGATTCGATGTAAAAAGTTGGTTTAAAGCATCAAGAAGGTGCAAAATGATCGGCCTTGATCTGGAGCTGTCTCGCTTCACCTGACGCCGCAAAACGGTCCGACCCTCAGAATTGAAGGGCGACTGAAACGGCATACGGCGTATGCATCACTTGTCCAGCAGGGAAGCTTCGTGTTTGCAAGGAATCCTTTCTGATCATGCATGCTACTCTGCAGATCTCTGCTGATCAAGCAATCGAACTTATTTCTGATGGAAACACGCTGAGAACGTGCGCAACTTGGAGAAGAGACTGGGATGGAATGCAGCTTTGTGCAGCTCGTTCCCGATATAACTATGAATTTCATTAAATTTCCTTGACAATTGATTGGTCCTGGATATAAAATCTGCCGTGCCCCATTTCAATCCATGTTATACTTCTTGGATCAACAAAACAGAGTCCAAGTTGAAATACACAATTTCGCATCCTTTGCGGCTGCAATATGCTGCAATGCTGTACCTATATTATAAACTATCAACACATCTGTCAATTTCCCACACCTATACATATCTATACTAGCAAATATCTATGAAATATCTATGACATATGAAATGTTCATTACATATTTGTGAAATATGTTTTTTTGTCTCAAACCTGTAGCAGAAATTCAGTACCTCCAGGCCAAGTCGGGCCAAGGGGTCCGCATGGATCGTTGCCGGGCTGGGTTTGTCCAGTTGCACCTCAGGAAGGTTGGCATATCGATTCGGATCGATTCAAATTGAAAAAATGAACATTCTTGAAATGTGTTTGGGTCTGTTTGGGTTGTTTAATGCATGCACTGCATATGTTTTGAATTGTTGTTGTACTAATTATTAGGTTGTTTATTATGTATGTTTATATGTGTTTATGAAGTATGTCGTTCACTGCGATTTGACAAAGTGACATGTTTGGAAAGTGCTTTCTGCCGTATCCTACAATCATCATTCCCAATCATTTCCAACAGCAAAAGTCATCAATATCTTCCAATTCTTCTGTCCTTCCCATCGTTTCGTGCTTCAGCCGTTTCCCACGGGTTCCGTGGGAAAGGACCCGCCTTGAAGCGAGCAGAGGTGCCGCGAAGGTCACCGCGCTGGTGCATCAGATTCGCCTTCCAAATCGATCGTCACGAGTCACGATCGTCCAGCAAATATGTCATGTATAATCATATATGTATGTATGTATGTATGTATGTATGTATGTATGTATGTATGTATGTATGTATGTATGTATGTATGTATGTATGTATGTATGTGCGTGTATATATATATATATATATATGTATGTATGTATGTGCGTGTATGTATATATATATGTATGTATGTATGTATGTGCGTGTATGTATATATATATATATATACATATATGTATGTATGTATGTATGTATGTGCGTGTATGTATATATATATATATATGTATGTATGTATGTGCGTGTATGTATATATATATGTATGTATGTATGTATGTATGTGCGTGTATGTATATATATATACATACATACATACATGTATGTATGTATGTATGTATGTATACATGTATGTATATATATATATATGTATGTATGTATGTGCGTGTATGTATATATATGTATGTATGTATGTATGTGCGTGTATGTATATATATATATACATATATGTATGTATGTATGTATGTATGTATGTATGTATACATGTATGTATATATATATATGTATGTATGTATGTATACATGTATGTATATATATATATGTATGTATGTATGTGCGTGTATGTATATATATATGTGTATGTATGTATGTATGTGCGTGTATGTATATATATATGTATGTATGTATACATGTATATATATATGTATGTATGTATGTGCGTGTATGTATATATATATATATGTATGTATGTATGTATGTGCGTGTATGTATATATATGTATGTATGTATGTGCGTGTATATATATATATGTATGTATGTATGTATACATGTATATATATATATATGTATGTATGTATGTATGTGCGTGTATGTATATATGTATGTATGTATGTATACATGTATATATATATATGTATGTATGTATGTATGTATGTGCGTGTATGTATATATATATATATATGTATGTATGTATGTATGTGCGTGTATGTATATATATATACATGTATATATATATATATGTATGTATGTATGTGCGTGTATGTATATATATATATATGTATGTATGTATGTATGTGCGTGTATGTATATATATATGTATGTATGTATGTATACATGTATGTATGTATGTATGCATGCATGCATGTATGTAAGTAAGTATGTATGTATGTATTGATGTCTGGCTGTCTGGCTGTCTGTCTGTCTGTCTGTCTGGCTGTCTGTATGTCTCTCTGTCTGTCTGAATGTCTGTCTGTCTGTCTGTCTGTCTGTCTGTCTGTCTGTCTGTCTGTCTGCCTGTGTCTGTCTGTCTGTGTCTCAATGTCTGTCTGTCTGTCTGTCTGTCTGTCTGTCTAACTATCAAGTGCCTCCCGGAATCGTTATAATCCGCTGGCAAGATCTGGCCATTTATCTTGCTGCGTCTTTCTCTGTGCTATGAGTACTCGTCCTTGACGTAAATAGAACACGACAAGGTTGCCGGTTGATGACTCATCAACCGTGAATGGAGTCACCATGTCAACTGCATCTCCTTTCCATGGTTCGTATATCGGGATCATACACTTGCACGCAATGATACACAATGTGCTGGTGTGTGCATGATACCCAGGTCTTCATATGCCTGTGATGGCAAGCTGCTGGCCCGCACACGCGACATGGCTCCAAGTCCACTTCAAGCGGTCCACCGGAGGGAAACCAACTGCAAACTAATGTTCAAAGAGTATCGAAAAGTGATGCTTGAGGTGATGTTTGTTGACTGCCAGCAGACATCAATAGACAAAATTAACGTTAACTGCACAAAAACCTCTACGAACACCCGTGCAATTCAAGCCCTTGGAACATCTTGCGATGTGTAACATTGCATTGTAATATCCACCTACCATCACCTACCCATGAGCCAAGCTCACACACAAGCGGCCACGGAAAGTGTCTCTTGCTGGCTTCGTTCAGGATTGAACTCTCAAAAGGTTGTTGTGACTTCTGCTTCCATGGGTGCTGAAGTGATTGGTAGTGGTGATGCTGACGGTGTTCTTCACAGCTTCAACTGCCCCGCAACCGCTTTCCCAACAGGGCCGGAGCTGGAGTTGAATCTGAGACCAGCATCACTGCACCTCACTGCGATTTTTTTCCGGCCATCTGCTTGGGCCACCAGCCCATCTCCAATCTCCGTATAGTCAGCAGCTTTCTCGGCCGGAGCCACAAAATGTGCCGCGCAGGACATTTCAGAGCCGTGACTCCAATGGCTCAGTTGATCTTCCAAGTCTCCATAGGTATCCATATGTCTCATATGAATTTCATATATATGTGTGTGTGTGTGCGTGTCTTTGTCACTATATGTCTGTCTCCATTATGTCTCGATTCTGTCTCCATGTCTCCATTACATGTTCGACATGTTTCAGGGGCTGAACACTTCGAGGAATCATAGTTGCCTTGACGTCATGGCCATGTCTGACTCTGATGTGCCGATCATCCTCATCATCAGGCGCTTTCAAGCACAAAATCTCAGCTACACCACTCATGGCCAGAAATGAAACACACTGGCTTCTTGCCAATGCAACTGCGAAACTCCATGAAGAAAGAGCGAAAACAAAACCACATGCACCCAATTCTCAACTGCTCTTTCTATAAACGCTGTGTAAACATAATTTACATAACCATGACACGATGTACTTCTTCTCTCGTATAGCATCACTCCTATCGCTCCGAAACTCAGTGGTTTCACTCTTACTGGCCATCCGTCTGCTATGTGCTCACATTGGTCGTGGCATGGTGGGCATTCCGGGCATGCCCATGCCACGTCCCGCCCCAGGCATTGCCATGTTGGGCATGCCCATGTTTGGCATGGTCGGCATGCCTAGCAGATGAGCAACGATCCTAAACAGTGACGTCGCACAGCCAGAAACCGAGTTCAAAGGAATCTTCATTGTCAAGTGAACATTTCAAAGGGCATTGGAGATGATTTGAGATGACTGGAGATTATTGGTTCATTCATATAATACATATGTGTTGTTGATGATTAATCATTACTGTACTGTATTAACATGTATTAACATGTATTAACTATGGTTCATCTCGGAGAGTGTCCAACTTCTCAGACCTGAGACTCGCGCCTGGCATGCTAGGAAGACCTGGTAGGCCACCAGGGCGCAAGCCCGCTGCAAGCAGTGGGTTCAGCATGGGAGGCCTCATCCCTGCCAACAAAGCTGCTGCTGGGTTCATGGCTGCACCTGGCAACACAAAGCGAACCCAGCGATAGGGCGGCCCTTGGTCCCTGGGTCCGCGTTTCAGCTGAGAAAAATTGCAAAAGCGTGTTGAAGATTGTAGAAGAAAGGCAAATGCACACTGAATGCTGATAGGTGCCCAGGTGATTTTGCTGACTCTGGTAACAGACCCGACCACACGGCTCGTACCAAGCTCTTCTAGCATATGAGGAAAATATGCATACATTTGACAAACCCATCTTGTCAATGCATACGACAATCTGCAAAAGGAGTACATAAACAGAATGGATGTCAAATGTCAAAGAATACAAATAATAATACAATATCGCAACGCAGTCACGCTCAGTAGTATCAGCACTATGTCGGAATCAGTAGCGGTGTGGTGGGTTGTCAATCGTTGTCATGTAAGTATGAGATGTATTAGTCATATTTATATGTTGTATTATGTTGTCATGTTCCCGAGTGTTGCGGGATGGTTTGCAAGAGTTGCGTCGCATTCACGGCGCCTACGGATGCTGCCGGCTTGGCGGGAGCCGCGGGCTTGGCAGGTGCTGCTGCAGGTGCTTGTGCCTTTTTGCGAGGCTTGTCGGTCTCGACCAGGTCCTGACACAAAGCTTGACGAGGTGCAGAACAGAAACACGTCACAATCGTCACCTACTTCATTGGTGTGAACTGCGAGTTTGACTTACAGCACTATACTATGGTTTGACAATTTGACTAATTTGACCACAAGCATATGATTTCATATGATCAGCATTATGATGAGAAACGATCAGCTTGCTGCTCCTCCTTGCCAAGTTCTTCTGGCTGAATGTATAGGATTCCGGTGCCACGAACAACTATGAAGCCCAACATCCTGTCAGGTGCCACGGGTACATATGGGTACATGCACAGCCACGAAACGCCTGTGCAGATCTAGACAGTTGGGAAAGTTTTGGTTCATTTCAACATCTTTTGAAATCTAATCTAGTCAAATCTCACGTTGCAGGCATGGCATGGCATGGCATGGCATGGCATGGCATGGCATGGCATGGTATGGCTGCAGCTGTTCCCCTAGGATGCAAGTGAGAGAGAGAGAGAGAATGGGAGTCCACCTGTCCAAGAATGGTGCGCGCGGGATCGTGCGCCTCTTCAATTCTTTGCCCTCTGGCTTGCCTTTGACCTTGTACTTGCGGTACTCCTGACCAAGTTCCGAGTTAAAGATTTCCAGGCTCACGCGCTAGAACCCGCTAGCGAAGAAACCCGAATCTAGAAATTGTTTTCAAACCAAAAACCATCAAAATCGTGTGGCACTTGCTGTTTATGAACCTGATATGAACCTGACTCGTGTCGATGCACCCAACCGCAAGTCCTCTGTGTTACACAGCACGATGTTCACATGCCTGGCGAGGCGATGCAATCAGCAAGTCATGATGCGACTCCTGTCACCGCCTTTCCCAGGATTTTCTTCTTGTAGGAATAGTGCATGGATGTGCATGGCATAAGCAGTGAGTCTGAACTTCTTACCTGTGTCTATCCTGTTTGTCTTGACAGACCTGCACACTTGATCACATTTGCGGGCATTTCACGAAATCTTGGACAAGTGTGGCAACATGTGGCAACATGTGGCAATGCAATCGCATTGTGCCTGTCTACAGCCATCAGGACACCCACCAATACTCGACCATCGGTCAAGGTCACACTGACCTTGGTCTTGAAAGCTCCGACTGCCCTATACAATCCCCACACCGCGCAAAAGACCGTGAGCCAAAGAACCGCATCCTCAACCACATAATGACAACATAGTTTTAAGTTTTACGACTTTGTGCAGTTACTTGCTATTGAATCTGAAGCTTCTGATCATCTCGGATCAGGATGCGTGGAGAGTAAGACGCTTCAGCCTTGCTGGGCGAAATACTCATGACCAAATCTCTGCCCTTTTCCCGTTCATTTCTCCCTTTAGTTCAAGAAGAGGCTTGTTGTGTTCACTGATTGTTGCAAAAGCCGACATGCACACAAGCATTGCCGGAAAGCCACGCGCCAGTTGAAGAATTGCGCAAGCTTGCGCCTCAACATTGGCCAAGCCCAAAAAGTGGATAGTGCTTGATGATGCTTGATGTATCAAGACTCCAAGGCATGCCGAAAATTTGCTTGAGGAGTGGCTGGTGGACCTGCTTGATCATTTGGGGCGTGCAAAACACAGAGAAAATGCCCTACATCACCCCGTGCCTGACTGCCCTGACTTTTCCCATGGCAGAAGGTCCTGCTGGCAAACAAACGAGTGGCTGGCAAACTGACTAGTGTAGGATCACGTCTTTGCTTGCATCATTAATATATCAATATATGTATGTGCGTATATACATATAATTATATATAATATGTATATATTTAAGCTGCTGAAGAAACAAGACAATTTCCTCACATGTCGCAAAATTGAAAGGCATCCCGGCCGGACCTCTCTTTGAGCCCTTGAGAAATGGTGGGCGCAGTCGGAACACCGTGAAATTCCACAAAACATATGGGATTCAAAGGTGAGTTTGGCACCGGGTAAGCGCAAGAATGCAGCGAGACACGGGCAACATCATTGCATAACCCGCATGGAATTCTGATTGCGGGCACGGCTGCCCCTAGCGTAATGGACAGATGGGCAGACAGCCAGGCAGACAGATAGGCAGACAGATAGATCAGATAGACAAACAAATGCTTAGATAGATAGGTGATTGTATATATGTATAATATATATAATATATATCAAACATCACATCCGGCAATATTGATGCATCCATATGCATCCGCATTGGAGACTCCATGGCTACCAAGGATACCATCATCATACTGACAGCGCCTTCATGCGCCTTCCCCCGATTCGCACAGCTGTGCCTTCTCCTAGATGTCACGGCGCACCCCGGAGCGCCGAACTGATCTGAGCCAAAGGCAGCTCTGCGAGAACCCAAAAGGGCGATGCAAAGTGAGGCAACCCTGCGGCTTTATTTTCAATATGTTAACTGTAAATGAATACATATAGATAATTATATTATATATATGCGCGATTTGATATGTACATATGTGTATTAAATGTATTGTATTGTATATATATATGTATATATTATATACAATTATATACATATACGTATATGTGTGTGTGTATGTGCACATCGTTTCTGATTGCCTGTTTAGTGATCTATTGGAACAATTTAAACATCCGCTTCTGAATCTGTGACGATAGAGAAGCCCGCAAACACGGGCGATTCCAGACGTACTTTGTCATGCCCTGCTGCACATGCAGCACAATTTATATGCAAACATATGCCAATAGGTGGGCTGTATATGCGATATGTTCACAGCAAATGAGATACGGCACTAAAGCCGGTGCCCCGGTGCCCCTGCTCGTGAGGACCTGACATGACCTGAAGCATCCTGACACATCCTGACACATCCTGATGCTGTGATACAATCCACTACAAATCACTACAATCCCTGGTCAGCTGACACCAATGTGCACTTGGCGGACCCACCACGCGGACCCTTGCAGCTAGAGTTTTTCCGCACTCAGAAAGGTGGCATCGTCCATTGGGAAGTGTCACAAGATGTCACAAGGCATCCTCCAAGCGCGCAGGGCGGGGCAAATGCAAAGCATATCTTCTGCTCCGCACGCGGACCAAGCCTGGCATTTGACATCAAATCTGAATGATTTGAATGCCATCCCATCCTTTGCAACAGAAATCCGTTCGCATGATTTCCGTTGGCTGAGACATCTTGGCATCAACTGCAGCAGTAGACCCAGTTCTGCTTGATAGGCAAGGCCGCCGCAGCCGCCACACGCACTCAGCAACTGCAAAGAGTCTGCGGTGCCGAATACAGTAGTCGAATTCGACAAGGGCGTCCACTTTCCTATCAAGACTCAAGAAATAGTTTTGCGCCTGGGCCTGGATACCAGAAAATCATAGAAAATCTAGAAAATAACTGCACAGGTCAATTGGCCTAGCCTGGCTAGTGAGATGTTTTGGAGTTTGCAATTGTGTCCACCCTTGGCATTGTTCAGCCAAGCCCGCTGACCTTCAGCCTGAATCCAAATTGCTGACAGGTCTATCTAATTATATATATGAGAGAGATATTGATATATCCTATTGCCTACTACTCTTCATAGTAATCAAGAATAAAATGAAATGAAAACAGCACACATACATGGACACAAATGTCAGTTAATCCACAAGTGAATGCACGTAACAAGAGACAATAAGTGTGCACAAGGAATTTGACAGTGGCAAAAATCTCAGGTTGGATAAGAATTGACTGCAATTGACCATTTCAAAGGCTGCATGTTCTCAATTTGCTCATCGAAGGTCAGCTTTTCAAATCGCAGGATACGGCTGCGTCTCATTGAAGCGGTGCCTGGCGGGGGAACCCAGTGAGGACTTGCACTTAAACATGTGCAAAAACAGGAAGTGGTTTTCGATGGTTTTCGGCAGTGGCTAGTTAATAAATGTTTTCGAAAGTGGCCAGCCTTTTCCGGGACTTGCGAACTATTTAAGGCTTCTGGCTGTGGACGAGACATGAAGAGAGTGAATGTTCTATAGGAATGTGAAAACCTGTCCCCGAGTCCTCCTCCAGGCTGCTCAATCTGATCCTTGCTTCTTCTTGGTCAGGTTCACCTCACTGGATATTTGAGCTGCGCAAATAACAAGTGACAAACTCAGCACAAAATCCCCTACCGGCACCTTTACCATATTGGAAGCTACTAGTGCAAGTAGTTCTTACAAATGGTGCTGCGGCGCTGCGATAGGTGCGACAAACTGACCAAACCTGACTGTATCTCATTGCCACCCAGGGCACCGTCTCGCGCTTCAGCACATGGAGCAAGGTCTGGGAAGACTCCAAGATCTTCATGTAGGCAGCCTCAAGGACATTCCAATCGCTTTCTGTGCAGAGATCTTAGCACAAACTAATCCATTCATCCGGCTAGAACTTACTTTGTGTGACTCTTGGTCAAGCATTTGCGTCGTCTGTGGTGAAAATTATGTCCTGGGATGTGTGTGTGTGTGCATATGTATGTATGTGATCTTACATGACCTACAAAACCTACAAGGAATTCGGCTCCGTTTTGCTGAGCCTTTTTACTGTGCCCCAAGCGCCCAAATGTCCCTGCAGCCTCGGTCTCCTGGATGGTCTTGTCATACTCGTTGCGGGCCTGGGTCTTGCGCACCAGACTCTCGTTCACCTTCGCAGGTTGTTGCAGACCACACAAAAATTGCACTTCGTGGCCCCTGGATCCGTAAAACGCCACGGTCAAATTCACAGATCACTAGTACAACTGACCTTTGGAGTACTGTTGTGGGTAAACAAACAGCTTTTATGCGCCGCACCTTTTGCAAACGGTCTGTCAAGATGGAGAGTTCCTTCTGAATCTTTGCCTTGTCCTCTTCTTCCTGCCGAACTGCCACATTGATGAATTCTCACGCCCCTCTTGACTGGCAGTGACTCTGTCTCCGAGTGATTCCAGTTGATCCTCGAGTGCACTTCAACACACTTCAGTGCCAATGCAAATGGTCCTTCAGGATTTGGCGATTCAGCTCCTCTCGCTTCTCACGCAGGTCTTCAATTGACTTCACCAGCTCGTTGTTGTAGTTCCTACAAGTGCGGCGCAGCGGCGCAACTGCAGAGGGCCTACTGAGCCTATTGGTCGATGGCAAGAGATGGTAAGATTGTGAGATCACCAGAGGCTCCATCGTCGCATCAGTGCTATCACGGGCATTGACTTACTATCTGCATGGGGAACCGTGGATTAATGTATATAATATTATATAATATGATTGCCTAATTTAAGATATTTAAGATATCTAAGTTAATTTAATCTATGTACATAACACAGAGAAAAAGAGAGAGAGAAAGAGAGGGAGTGCAATGTATCATAATGTATCATAGTATCATATAGTATCTATGTCAATATGAATGGCAATCCGGTGCAAGATCAGGACGAACCAGCACATCGTGCAGTGAGAATCCATATCTACGATGCTCTGCCAAGGTGCTGCAAGGTGGCTTCCTGGGATGCCATGGCAAAGGCCTGCACCCAGGGATCGAGTACTCTTTGCACAGACCAAAGATGACCAAAGATGACCAAAGGTAGCTGACGGTCATACTGACGGTCATACTGATAGTCATACTTCTCATACTTGGCCTAAACTTGGCATATCTTCATATCTTGGTACATTTGATGCAAATCACTGCATCGATTGCACATCCACAGGCACAATATGGCAAAATCCTGCCTCGGTGAAGTCGCAGTGAATCCACGAGCGAACGAGCTTGTCTCAGCCAGAATGGCGCAGGCTGCCGGGCGCTGAATCCACGGTGCCAAAACTCCACCAACAGTACCGATCGGACACTACGACTGCTGGTTGGACGCACCTGGGCTGGCCAGAAACCATGTGACGAAGTGAAAATGCATATGCAGGAGATTGATATCTTAAAAATATCCTACTCAGACACTCTAGAATCAATGGCAAATTTGGATAAATTTGGCCCTATAATGTCACGCGATTCACATGCGACAGATCGCGACAGTTTTCACAAACCCTGCTGATATCTGCTGATCAACGGCTTCCTTTCTGCTACCATCTTCAAGCATCTTCCGGTCTTTTTTCCGAAGCTCTGGGACGCGCTAGTTTTTTTTTGCACTTTGGCCACGAAGTCCGGTGATGAGCAAACCACTGTGTGGCTCCTACATCCAGGGGCTGGAGGGCATTCTGGAACAATGAGAAATGGTCGTGAAGGAAAATGTTGGGAGAACAATCTTCCCAATGCATATTGAATAATTTTGCAACATTCTGCTTTCGGAGAGATGCTTGATTTACTCTTTGCATTCTTTGCTGATATCCTATGGAAGATTCGTGGCAATATTGCTCAAGCTCACATTGGGACACTGAGAGATGCGAACTCCTCGTGCTACAAACGCTCCTGCCTCCTGGGATCGGCATCACTGGACGACGTTGACAGTCTTCATGAGGATGATTCCTCAGCAAGCACTTGATATATCTGTCGTTTACCAACTGGATGTGCAATTCTTCGCCATGCTAAAAAAATCAAAGCAAGCAGACAAGTGGCCATGGAGAGTTGAATTCCCTCCAAATTTGGGCTTCAGCATGTATCTGGCAGGAGACAGGAAGCTTTGGAGAGACACTCTGAGACAAGAGGAAGATGGGATCAACAAAAAGAAATTCCACCAGGTTTTAAGTCCACTTCCTCATTGTGAACAGTTACAGCAAATGTCCAATGCATTCAGATCGCTGATTCCATACCATTTTCATACCATTTCATAGCATTCCTATCATCACCCAGGCCCCACCTTCCAATGCCCTTTTCGTAGTCCCACAGCGCTTCGAGGTTGCCAGGTTTCCGTCCTGGGATGCCGTTGGCATCTTCCAAGGGCCATCCCAGGTCCCAGGGTCCCAGGGTCCCAGTCCGTCCCAGGCCGTCCCAGGCCTGCAGCGGTCCAGTACGCTTTCATGCCTTCCACGATCAACATGTGGGTTCCCCACGAGTGTGGCTTGATGACCTGCAGCAAATGCCATGCAAATGCCATGCAAATGCCATGCAGAGTTGCAGAGGATTGGTTGGTTCAGCCGTGACAACTCATCGCTTTGCCCTGTGAGCATGAAAACGTCTCAGAAGACTAACAGAGCCCAAAAAAGCTCATGCCATACATGGTCCTTCAGAATGCAAGACCATACGATGCAGCATAGCGCCACATGATATCGTGAATATGATTGAATGTGATTAATTATCCTCTCATATCCTTTCTGCAACTGAATTGCTCCAAAGGTCAATTTGTTCGTCCGACTTTGTGCTGCCTTCTCAATGACTTCATCGAAGGCTTCAGCGATTTCCCAGCCATTGGGAATGGATTTCCAGGCCGTCACCGACGGGTCAGTCCTGCTCTGGT